CAAGCCACCAAAGCCATACCCTAGGCCTTGGAAGCTGCCATATCCACAGCCATAACCAGAGCCATAGCCATAGCCCAGGCCCCCATAGTAGCTGCCGTAGTAGCTCATTGTGTCAGGCTTCACGGATCTGGTTGGATGTCAAGAGTAGGTTGTGTGAGTGTCTTTGGCACCATCTGCATGTGGACTTTTATACCTTTCTAGCAGGAGGCAGGGCAGATCAAGGCTAGCATTGCATAATTTCTATTAATGAATTTTACAGAGCAAAAGCACATTCTTTTCATCTTTTGTTTTATGAGAACAATTCCGCCAGCTTATCAAGGGTGTTTTTTTCTCCAATTGTTGTTTCTCTGAGATAGCTCTGCCATGATCTCGTTCATGTAATGAGAAATGATTATAGTGTTGCTAAAGCCTATGTAGTTAATATGGGCTGGTGCCCTGCACAGGCTTCATGGCAGCTGTGTCTTGGATGACGTTGTCCTCCTTACATTATACTTGCCCTTTTGGCATTCTTATTTTTCAGCCAGGTTGTTGAATCTTCTCTTTTAAAAATATCATTTATTCATTTTTAAGATTTAAAAAATATTCAGGGGGCAGCTAGGTGGTGCAGTGGAGAGAGCACTGGCCCTGGAATCAGGAGGACCTGAGTTCAAATCCGACCTCAGACACTTGACACTTACTAGCTGTGTGACCCTGGGCAAGACACTTAACCCGACTGACTAACCAAAAAAAAAATTCAGTTCCAAATTCTCTTTGTCCCTCATTTCCTCCCCTACAGCCACTGCCAAGTCAAGCAATAGGATACCCATTATACATCTGAAATATTGCATTACATATTTTCATATAATGATGCCTTTAAATTAATCGAGAACAATAAAGTGAGAAAATTATAATTAATTTTGTACTCAGAGTTCATCAGTTCATTCTCTGGAGGTGCAGAGCAGTTTTCATCATGAGTCCTTTGCAATTGTCTTGGATCATTTTTTTGATCAGAGTCTTTCACAGTCCATCATCATCATCTTATTGCTCTTATTGTACAATGATCTCCTAGTTCTGATCACTTCAGTTTGCATCAGTGTGTATAGATCCTCCAAAGTTTTCCTGAAACCACACCCCACATTTTTTGTTATAGCTCAATAGTATTCCATCACAGTATATACCTCACCTTGTTCAGCCATTCTATGATTGATGGGTATCCTCTCAATGTCCAATCCTTTGCCATCACATAAAGAGTATCTATAAATATTTTTGTACATATAGGTTCCTTTCCTTTTTCTTTGATCTCTTTGTGATACAAATGTAGTAGTAATAGTATTCGTCAACCAAGGTACACACAGTTTTATATCCCTTTGGGTTATATTCTAAATTGTTCTCCAGAATTGTTGGACCAGTTTAGAACTCCATCAACAATTCATTAATGTTCCTTTTCCTCCCACAATCCCCGCCATCATGTTTCATTTCTGATAGGTATGAGTTGTTATCTTAGAGTAATTTTAATTTGTGTTTCTGTAATCAATATTGATTTAGAGTATTTTTTTCATATGACTGTAGATACCTTTGATTTCTTCTACTTAAAACTACCTATCATATCCTCTGACCATTTGTTAATTGAGAAGTTCCTCTAAATTTTGTAAATTTGACTCAGTTCCCTACATAGTTTTGTTATAAGACCTTTTTTGAGAAACTTGCTTTAAAATCTTTTGCTATCACTTCATTGGCCATGGTACTTTTTACAAAATGTAGTTTCCTAGATTATGTCTTTTAATTGGGCCCATTTTTGCTTTTGCTTTGTCTGAAGTCATGATTTCTACCTGTGCCTTTTTTGTGTCTGTGATAGCATAACAGATTCTGCTCCAGCCCCTCATTTTAACCTTTTGTGTTTGTCTTTCTGTTTTGGAATATGTTTCTCATAAACAACATATTGTTGAATACTTGTTTCTAATCCACTTTGCTATCTGCTTCCACTTTGTGATAAAGTTCATCCTATTCACACTCAGAATTGTGATTATTTTGTACTTCTCTCCATTCTATATTCTTCTTTTTCCTTTTCTCTCTCTCTTTACCCTGTCCTTCCTGAAAAGTCTGTTTTGTCTCCTCCACTGGCTGCCTAAATTTTCCATCCATTTTATCCTCCCTGCTTCCTCCCCTGCTCCCTCCATCCCAGATCTTTTCTCTTATCCCTTTTCCTTCCTTCTTCCCTGTTGAGTAAGATTGATTTACCCACTTGGAGAGAGAGAGAAGAGAGAGAGAGAGAGAGAGAGAGAGAGAGAGAGAGAGAGAGAGTGAGATATTTTACGTCTTTGAAGCAATTCTGAGTAAAGTTATATTTTAAGCATTGTCCACCAACCATATCCTGTAAAAGCTTTTCCTATAGTTTCCTCAATGCTGTAAAAGCTCTTCCTTGTATGCCTCTTTTAATTCAGAAAAATTTTCCCATTCTTTCTTTCCCTTCTCCCTTCTCCCAGTGTATTCCTCTTTTTCACCCCTCTATTTTTTTAGATTATTCAAACAGAATCCACTCACACCCATGCCCTCTGGTGGACTACCTGAAAACCATGAAAAAAAAAATCCCATCATATTTCAAGAGATCATAGAAGATGTGCCCTGATGTCTTAGGTCTAGATAGTAAAATATGAATTGATGGAATCCACCAATCATTTTCAGAAAGAGATCTGAAAATGAAAACTCCCATGGATATTATAGCCAAATTCCCCCTTCTAACTGTCTGAATAATGATAATGATATGTAGAGTTCCATGTGTCATTTTCCTGTATAGGAATGTAAACACTTTAACCTTATTGATCCCCTTATGATTTCTCTTTCATGTTGATCTTTTTATGTTTCCCTTGAGTCTTGCGTTTGAATGTCAAATATTCTATTCAGCTTTGGTTTATTTCATGAAGAATACTTGAAATTCCTCTCATTAAATATCCAATTTTCTGACCAAAAAAAAAAAATCTAATTTTTCACCCTAAAGATTTCTACTCAGTTTTGCAAAAGAGGTTATTCTTGGCTGGAATCTGAGTGCTTTTGACTTCTGGAATATATTTGCAGCCAACTGCTCCTTTAAGGTGGAAGCTGCTAATTCTTGTTTTATGCTGACTGTGGCTCCATGATATTTAAATTGTGTCTTTCTGACTAATTGCAACAGTTTTTCCTTGTCCTGGAAGCTGTGGAATTTGGCTATAACATCTATAAAAGTTTTCATGTTGGGATCTCTTTCTGGATGATTGGTAGATTCCATAAATTCATATTTTACCCTGTAGACCTAGGACGTGAGGGCACATCCTGAATTTTTTGCATTATGATACATAGGATCCTTTTTTTCCGTGTAGTTCACCATGAACAGCTTTCAGGTAGTTCATGAATTTTAAAATCATTTCATTTCTATTTTCCAGATCAGTCATTTTTCCTGTGAGAGATGTCATTGTTTCTATTTCTTATACTTCTGACTTTGTTTTCTTGTTTCCTGATGTCTCGTGAAGTCATTAGCTTCCAGGTGCTCAATTTCGATTTTTAAGGAATTATTTTCATCAGTGAGCTTTTGTTCCTCTTTGCCCACTTGGCCAATTCTATTTTTTAAGGGGTTTTATTTAAGTGAAATTTTGTGCCTCTTTTGCCAATAGGCCAATTCTATTTTTTAAGGTGTAATTTTTCTCAGTGTTCTAAGGCTGTGAACCTTAGTTCCTGGCAGAATGGCAGTCCTCTTGAAAGCACCAGGGAAGCTGGGAGGTGGGGTGCTTTGAGAGAAGTCAAGGTGAGGAGCTTTGTTTTATGCTTGAGGGCTTTGAGATGACTAGGAGACATCATTTTGAAATAGTATAATTGTGTAGTCCATGTGTAGTCCAATTGTATAGTCCCGTGATGTGGGACTGAAGCTGAAAAGAGATGTAGGCTTAGTTCTCTCGATATAGCTGTGAGTGAGAGAGAGCAGAAATAGTCTGAGAGACTATAAGAAGGGAAAAGAAGAGCTCATCAAACAGGGGGTCTGCCATAATTAGTCAACATGGCTTGGATTGTGGTCTAGGTAAGGCAATTAGGAAAGAACAGTCAGGCTGGTAGCACAGTGTCAAGCATGCCCAGGAGCCCTAGTTGATCAGTGGTATCAAAAGCTGAAAGAAGATCTAGAGGAAGGAAGATTCAGAAGAGGTCATGAGCTTTGTCCATGAAGACATCATTGGGTACTTTGGACTTTGAAAAGCAGATTTGGATAGAGTCTGCTTTCCCAGTGGAAAGCCTCAGCTAGAGAGCAGTGTTGCAAGTTGTACTGGCTGTGGAAGCGGCTGAAGGAGATGCGATCCACCCAAAGGGCAAGGCTCCTTGACAACATTCAGACTTGGTCTGTGACTCTATTCTGTAGTCTTTTTGTTGTGCCATTCAGGTGCTGTGCTCTAGAACTTCAAATTTGATAACAAAATTGTGGATGATAGTGACACAAGCAATGGGCTAACCCACACTCTGCCAGTCATCAGGGATACTTTGGATCTGGAAGTGATGAATCATGAGCATGAGGTGATGACCATGTAAATCTTTGAGGAAGCTTGAAGATAAAAACCCTGTTCATGTGGTCACAGAATTTGGGGAAAGGCCTTGACTTCACTAAGTGGAGCCTGAATGAGTATAGCGAGGTCAAGAAGGAGACATGAAAACAGTTTAGTTAAACCAATGGAACAAGTTTATTAGCACACGTTTTTAGACACCTCAGACAGGGTGTAGAAGAATGGAGCAAACTTGCTGGAAATTAGCTGTTGCTGGGGAAATTTCCATCATGAAAGGTGATATTCTGTATCATTTCCTGGAAAGATGGGTCCTGCTGCTTCTCAGTTCCTGCCACTTCATTTCCATGGGTAGTATATATTGATTCCAAGGCTGTCTTGTGGTAGCTCTCCCATGCCACCCAGCCATAGAGGCTGATGGATTTAGGTGTTCTTTCAATGGCACAGAATTAGCCTAGAGCAAGGTGAGGACAAGGATTTGATGACAGCCTGGGAGCAAGTGGTTTTTCAGTAGAAGCCATAGGAATAATATCTTCCATAGCAAGATGGGCGGTAACAGCCATAGCCATAGCCACCATAGCCCAGGCCTCTATAACCCAAGCTGCTAAAGCCATAGCCTAGGCCACGGAAGCTTCCACATCCGCAGCCATAACCAGAGCCATAGCCATAGCCCAGGCCCCCATAGTAGCTGCCGTAGTAGCTCATTGTCAAGCTTCACGGATCTGGTTGGATGTCAAGAGTAGGTTGTGTGAGTGTCTTTGGCACCATCTGCATGTGGACTTTTATACTTTTCTAGCAGGAGGCAGGGCAGATCAAGGCTAGCATTGCATAATTTCTATTAATGAATTTTACAGGGCAAAAGCACATTCTTTTCATCTTTTGTTTCCTGAGAACAATTCCTCCAGCTCATTAAGGGTTTTTTTTCTCTCTATTTTTTGTTTCTCTGAGATAGCTCTGCCATGACCTCGTTCATGTAATGAGAAATGATTATAGTGTTGCTAAAGCCTATGTAGTTAATATGGGCTGGTGCCCTGTACAGGCTTCATGGCAGCTGTCTTTTGCATGACATTGTCCTCCTTACATTGTGGTTGCCACTGTGGCCTTATTTTTCAGGCGTACTATTGAATCCTATCTCTTTTAAAAATAATTTATTCATTTTTAAGATTTAAAAAATATTCAGTTCCAAATTCTCTTTTTCCCTTAATTCCTCCCCCCAGCCACTGCCAGAGCAAGCAATATGATACCCATTATGCATCTGAAATAATGCATTACATATTTTCATATAATGATGCCTTTAAATTAACCAAGAAAAATAAAGAAAGTGAGAAAATTTTAATTAATTTTGTAGAGTTCATCAGTTCATTCTCTGGAGGTGCAGAGCAGTTTTCATCATGAGTCCTTTGCAATTGTCTTGGATCATTTTTTTTTGATCAGAGTCTTTCACAGTCCATCATCATCATCTTATTGCTCTTATTGTACAATGATCTCCTAGTTCTGATCACTTCAGTTTGCATCAGTGTGTATAGATCCTCCAAAGTTTTCCTGAAACCACACCCCACATTTTTTGTTATAGCTCAATAGTATTCCATCACAGTATATACCTCACCTTGTTCAGCCATTCTATGATTGATGGGTATCCTCTCAATGTCCAATCCTTTGCCATCACATAAAGAGTATCTATAAATATTTTTGTACATATAGGTTCCTTTCCTTTTTCTTTGATCTCTTTGTGATACAAATGTAGTAGTAATAGTATTCGTCAACCAAGGTACACACAGTTTTATATCCCTTTGGGTTATATTCTAAATTGTTCTCCAGAATTGTTGGACCAGTTTAGAACTCCATCAACAATTCATTAATGTTCCTTTTCCTCCCACAATCCCCGCCATCATGTTTCATTTCTGATAGGTATGAGTTGTTATCTTAGAGTAATTTTAATTTGTGTTTCTGTAATCAATATTGATTTAGAGTATTTTTTTCATATGACTGTAGATACCTTTGATTTCTTCTACTTAAAACTACCTATCATATCCTCTGACCATTTGTTAATTGAGAAGTTCCTCTAAATTTTGTAAATTTGACTCAGTTCCCTACATAGTTTTGTTATAAGACCTTTTTTGAGAAACTTGCTTTAAAATCTTTTGCTATCACTTCATTGGCCATGGTACTTTTTACAAAATGTAGTTTCCTAGATTATGTCTTTTAATTAGGTCCACTTTTGCTTTTGCTTTGTCTGAAGTCATGATTTCTACCTGTGCCTTTTTTGTGTCTGTGATAGCATAACAGATTCTGCTCCAGCCCCTCATTTTAACCTTTTGTGTTTGTCTTTCTGTTTTGGAATATGTTTCTCATAAACAACATATTGTTGAATACTAGTTTCTAATCCACTTTGCTATCTGCTTCCACTTTGTGATAAAGTTCATCCCATTCATATTCAAAATTGTCATTACTTTTTACTTCACTCCATTCTATGTTCTTCTTTTTCCTTCTCTTTCTCTCTTTACCCTGTCCTTCCTGAAAAGTCTGTTTTGTCTCCTCCACTGGCTGCCTAAATTTTCCATCCATTTTATCCTCTCTGCTACCCCACCCGTTTGACCCCCAGGTCCCTTTCTCTTATCCCTTTCCCTTTCTTCTTCTCTGTTGGGTAACATTGATTTACCCACCTGGAATGACACCCCCCCCCCCACACTGAGGTTTTCCCTCTTTGAAGCAATTCTGCATAAAGTTAGATTTAAGCATTGCCCACCAACCCTTTACTATAAAAGCTTTCACTATATTTTCCCCTATATTGTAAAATCTCTTCCTTGTATGCCTCTTTTAGTTTAGAAAAATTTTCCCATTCTTCCTTTCCCTTCTCCCTTTTCCCAGTGTATTCCTCTTTTTCACCCTTCTATTTTTTTCGATTATTCAAACATAATTCATTCACACTGATGCCCTCTGGTGGACTACCTGAAAGCCATGAAAAAGAAAGAATCCTATCAAATTTATATCCATCATATTTCAAGAAATCATAGATGACGTTCCCTGTCTATCTTAGGTTTAGTGGGTACAGTAAGAATTGCTGGAATCCATCAATCATCTCCAGAAAGTGATCTGAAAATGAAAATTCCCATGGATGTTTTAGCCAAATTCCTCCTTCTAACTATCCTGATAATGATAATGATATGTGGAGTTACATGTGTCATTATCCTGTAAAGAAATGTAAACAGTTTAGCCTTATTGAGCCCCTTATGATTTCTCTTTCATGTTGATGTTTTAAATTTTCTTTTGAGTCTTGTGTTTGAATGTCAAATATTCTATTCAGCTTTGGTTTTTTTCATGAAGAATACTTGAAATTCCTCTCATTAAATATCCCATTTTCCACCCTAAAGTTTTCTTTCTTTCTTTCTTTCTTTCTTTCTTTCTTTCTTTCTTTCTTTCTTTCTTTCTTTCTTTCTTTCTTTCTTTCTTTCTTTGGCAATGGCGTTAAGTGACTTGCCCAGAGTTACGCAGCTAGTGAGTGTTATGTGTCTGAGGCCAGCTTTGAACTTAGGTCCTCCTGACTCCAAGGCCAGTGCTGTATCCACTGCAACACCTAGCTGCCCCTCACCGTAAAGGTTTCTACTCAGTTTTGCAAAAGAGGTTATTCTTGGCTGTAATCTGAGTGCCTTTCACTTCTGGAACATATTCACAGCTGACTGCTCCTTTAAGGTGGAAGCTGCTAATTCTTGTTTTATGCTGACTGTGGCTCTATGATATTTGAATTGTGTCTTTCTGACTGATTGCAATAGTTTTTCCTTGTCCTGGAAGCTGTGGAATTTGGCTATAACATCCATGAATGTTTTCATTTTGGGACCTCTTTCTGGAGATGATTGGTGGTTTTTATAAATTCATATTTTACCCTCTAGACCTAAACATCAGGGCACATCCTGAATTTTTTGAATTATGATGTCTAGGATCCTTTTTCTCCATGGCTTTCAGGTAGTCCACCAATTTTGAAATTATTTCTCTTCTATCTATTTACCAGGTCAGTTGTTTTTCCTGTGAGAGATTTCATTGTTTCTATTTCTCATGCTTTTGACTTTGTTTTCTTCTTTCTGATGTCTCATGAAGTCATTAGCTTCCAGTTGCTCAATTTCAATTTTTAAGGAATTATTTTCATCAGTGAGCTTTTGTATTTCTTTTCCCACCTGGCCAATTTTGCTTTTTAAGGAGTTTTATTTAAGTGAATTTTTGTGCCTCTTTTGCCAATCGACCAACTCTATTTTTTAAAGTGTAATTTTCTTTAGTATTCTAAGGCTGTGAACCTTAGTTCCTGGCAGAATGGCACTCCTCTTGAAAGCACCAGGTGCTTTGAGAGAAGTCAAGATAAGGAGCTTTGTATTATGCTTGAGAGCTTTGAGATGACTGGGAGACATCATTTTGAAGTAGTATAATTGTATAGTTCTTGATATGGGACTGAAGCTGAAAAGAGATGTAGGCTTAGTTCTCTCGATATAGCTGTGAGTGAGAGAGAGCAGAAATAGTCTGAGAGACTATAAGAAGGGAAAAGAAGAGCTCATCAAACAGGGGGTCTGCCATAATTACTCAACATGGCTTGGATTGTGGTCTAGGTAAGGCAAGTGGGAAAGAACAGTCAGGCTGGTAGCACAGTGTCAAGCATGCCCAGGAGCACTAGTTGATCAGTGGTATCAAAAGTTGAAAGGAGATCAAGAGGAAGGAAGATTCAGAAGAGGTTATGAGCTTTGTCTATGAGGATGTCATTGGATACTTTGGACAGAGCAGATTGAAGAGCAGATTTGGATAGAGTCTACCTCCCCAGTGGGTGGGTGGGCCTCAGCTAGAGAGCAGTGTTTCAAGTTGTACTGGCTGTGCAAGCAGCTGAAGGAGATGGGATCCACCCAAAGGGCAAGGCTCCTTGACAACATTCAGACTTGGTCTATGACTCTATTCTGTGGTCTTTTTGTTGTGCTGTGTTCTAGAACTTCAAATTTGATAACAAAGTTTTGGATGATTGCTACACAAGCAATGGGCTAACCCACACTCTGCCAGTCATCAGATCTGGATCTGGAAGTGATGAATCATGAGCATGAGGTGATGACCATGTAAATCTTTGAGGAAGCTTGAAGATAAAAACCCTGTTCATGTGGTCACAGAATTTGGGAAGGGTGCCACAGTTCATAGGGAAAAATGCCTTGACTTCATTAAAGTGAGGCCTGAATGATTATAATGAGGTCAAGAATGAGACATGAAAACCGTTTAGTTAAACCAATGGAACAAGTTTATTAGAACATCTTATTAGACGCTTCATACAGGGTGTAGAAGAATGGAGAAAACTTGCTGGAAATTAGCTGTTGCTGGGGAAATTTCTGTCACTAAAGGTGAGATTCTATATAATTTCCAGAAGGATGGGTCCTGCTGCTTCTCAGTTCTTGCTATTTCACTTCCATGAGTAGTATTGATTCCATGGCCCTCTTGTGGTAGCTCTTCCATGCCACCCAGCCTTAGAAGTGATGGAATTTGATGTTCTTACGATGGCATGGAATTAGACCAAAGCAGGGTAGGAGAAGTTGCCATGATAGGCCAAGAGCACAGCCAAAACCAGAGCCATAGCCATAGCTCAGGCCCCCCATAATATCTGCTATAGTAGCTCATTGTGACTGGATTCACAGATTTGGATGGATGTCAAAGGGAGGTTGTATGAGTGGGTATAGCTCCATCTGCACAGGGTCTTGTATACACTTCCAGCAGGAGGTGTGGAAGATACATAGCAGAAATGCATATTTCCCATTAATAAACTTGCCAGGGCAAAATTACATTCTTATCATTGTGTTTTTTCCCAGAAAATAATTCATCCAGCTCATTAAGGATATTTTCTCTCAATTGGCTTTTTATTTGAGAAGGCTTTGCCCTGATCTTGTTCCTGTAATGAGAATGATTACAATGTTGCTAAATTCTTTAAAGTTAATGTGACTGGAACCCTACCCAGGCTTCATGGTAGCCATCTCCTGGGTGGCACTGTCTTTCTTCATTACAATTATGTCCTTGGGGTTCTGATTCTTTAGAGAGGTGGTTGAATCTTGTGTCTCAGTCAGTGCTATTTGAGACTGAAACGACAGAATCATGCAAGTTTCAGATTGGAGTTGAGATGGTGATGAGTCACCAGTGTATGGAACAGGTCAATCAAACTTTCATTTTCAAAGTACCCCAAGCACCAACCCCAGTACTGGCACTGTGCCAACAACTGTGCTCAGGGATTCAACAGAGTTCCTGCACTTGGGCAGCTCTTAAGTTCCTAGTCCAGTGAGGACACGAACATAGTAAGATATCTGCCACAAACATGGATGCTTGATGGAAGAAGATCTCAGAAGCAGAGACATAGGCTTCTGGTGAAATGGGGTAAGGGTGCTTGTTATGTTTGGAATTGTAGCTGAAACTCAAAGGCAACAACAAAGTCAGGGAGGGGAAGGAGAGCAATCTGAGCAGGTTGAATAGCAAACCAATTCAAAGGCAAGCAGAAGGGACATGCAGTATATCAGTTGTAGCTGGACTATTACATGTGGAGAGGGAAATATAGTATACAAAGACTGGAAGGAAAAGAATTGGTCAGTTTATGGAAAGAGTGAAATTCCAGAGAACAGTATTGATTTTAACCAGCACAGATTAAGATGCTATGAGCCTTTACCAGACAACATGTGTAGAGCCTCAGGTTTTTGCAGATTGGAGGGGGCATGGAGTAAGATGAATATTTCAGGAAAATGTGTTGGGCAGCTGATTGGCTGATGGATTGTGCTGGGAAGAGGACTGGATTGGGAGGCCAGTTGTAAGACTCCTGTAGAGAGACACTGAGGACCTAATCTAAGGTGGGGTCTATATGAAGCTGCCACATCCAGAGAAGGTTAGGCATGCCGGGTTAGAAAGAACAAGTTTTACCAATTGATTGGATAAGGGCAGTGAGAGTGAAATATCAAGTACTCCCCAAGGGTCAGAACATGAGTTCCTGGCAGCAAAGGGGTGCTATTGAAAGTAATAAAGAGATAGGGAGAGGTACAATGCTTTTCAAGAGGCAGATGAAGAGCTGTATTTTAGATTTGGGGGCTTTGAGATGACTAGGGAATATCAATTTGAAACGGTGCAATTGGACACTTCATGATGTTGAACTGGAGCTCAGGACAGATGCAGACCTGGATCTGGAGATGTGACAGTGAGTGGCAGAGAAAAGGTTTCTTAAGTCCTGAGATCTGAAGGAGGGTCTACTCTCTGACCAGTGGAGAAAGCATAATAGTGATAAAAGGGAAGACAGAACACCTGAGGTGTCAGCCACATTTGACATGACATGATTAGCTAGTTAAGATGAGCAAGAAGGAACAGTGGGAAGGTGGGAAGAGCAGTGTCAAGCACACCCGGGAGCACCAGTTGGCCAGCAGTGTCCAGTGCTGAAGGCAGATCGAGAAGAAGGAAGATTCAGTAGAGGCCACTAGTTTTGATCAGTAGGAAATCACTGAGCACTTTGGAAAGAACAGTTTCTTTTGAAGGTGGGAGTCAGCCACCATATGTCCAAGACTTTCAAAGATGGTGAAAAGAAGGCAGGCAGGGACTCTGACTAGTTTCTAATGAATGCAGTACAGCCATGGACTTTCAAAATGTGGAAATGCTAGGAAGTGCTGATAATGTGAGATTGAGTAGGATCATGCATTCTGTGCATATGTAGACAACCACCTGAACAAGCGAGTTCTGGACTGGATTAGTGAATTTCAGAGAGAAGGGAACTGAGCCCAAAAGAACTCAGGAGGTCATTGACTGAGAGAGTGTAGTGGAGTGAAGGCGGGCTGTTTCTCTTAGGTTGCAGAGCATCTCAGAACGACTCCAATTGAGCAGAAGAAAAGTGACCTCAGTGTGGTTGGGCAGCACTAGGTGTCTCCTCTGTTCTCTCTTATTCAAACTTTTCACAATTCTGCTCTAAGGGATAAGTAAACCCAGTAGGATATTGCATGACAGCCACAAATCCCACTGTGATTGAGATTGCCAGAAGAGGGGCATAAGGGAGAAAAGCTCAGGAAATTGGAGGTGGCGATCCTCCTGTAACATGTACTGCTCAATGCTTGGCTCATCTTTGGCTGAAAGTTAGAACACACAGAAGCATCCACACTAGGTGCCAGAATGGTGTCCAGCTCAAGTCCATGAGACTCACTTAAAAGATCTAGGGCTTTGGGGCTTAAAAAACTCTTGGGGGAGAATACTAGTCCTTTTAGAGAATTTTAATAGCCATCCCCTAGTACAGGTATTAATGTGTTCTGGGAGGCAGACTTAGATTTAGGGGCAGTATTTTGACTCCCCAAAATGATTTTTTTGCCTTACTAAAGAGAATGAAATATTCTCTGTAACATGAGAGCTGTCCAAATCAAAAACAGTCTTCTTGAAGCATTGGTTTCTGCTGAAGAGACCTCCATAGTCCTGACAAAGGATTTGATGGATCATTTGGCAATATGTTACAGGAGGAATTTAATAGAGGCCTGCTGAGCCATTTTGGTTTGAAAAACCAGTAGATCCACAGCAACTGTGATGCTCTTTGTGAATGGAGAATAAGAGCTAAGAGCTGTATAGAGTAAAGAAAATTAATTTCAGGATAATAAAGAGTGGGAGGCATGAGATCCATTGGTTATGGCCCTTGTATTGTTTCCTTCACTGCTTGAAACACAAGTTTAGTCAATAAAAATTCATTATGCAGACACTATCTGTCAGGTAGAGTGCCAAGCTCTGTCTTTCTTCTCAAGGATCCATCTGAACATGTGATGATTGGCCCTGGGAAATAGGAGGATCTAAATCTCTCAGTAAACACCTGGTGTTGGTCTGTGCAATAGCCTTTGCTAGAGGATATCATCCTGAGCACAAAGGATTATTGTTATGCCAAGCTCAGTGCACAGACTGCTTGTTAGGCCTTAGACCTGGAAGACTGGGTATCTCCAAAATATTTTGATGTTCTCAATAAAGCAGATGCTTTCTTTTCACGAGTGTTTAAGTTGATTGGAAAGTTCTTATGTTTGAGTGGCTTTCAAGACATTCTTCCAAAAATGAGTCCAATGTCCCTCTGGACATTCATGCCTTAGGAGGAGGGCAGTATTGTGAGTTGGACTGATAGTACAGGTGACTGGAGTAGATGGGAACCACTTGTGAAGAAAGGTTCCATGACAATGTTCAAACTTGGTATATGACTTTCTTCTGAAGTCTTTATGGAGTGTCATTCACTTGTACCATACTACAAAACTTCAAATTGGTCAGTGAAAACAAAGTGGTGAAAGACAACTAGAAAATATCAAGCCAAAAAGATCAAGCCAAATTCTGATAGTCATCAGAGACACCTTGGATATGGAGGTCATGAGTTATAAACATAAGGCCATGAACATATAAATCTTTGAGAAACTTTGAAGATAAAAACCCTGTCCACATATGCACAGAATGTGGGAGAAGGGTCATGCTTATAGAGATAACTTCCCTTGACTTTGATAAATTGGGGGCTGGAAGTTATGAAGCACTATAATTTAAATACTGCAGAACTGAAATTTTAGAAAGACACTTATTAAGAAAATAATATTTTTTTTTCAAGAGAAATCTAGAGAGGTATCCCTTCATTATAAAGGATGAATTGGAGACCAAATATTTTGCAGTAACACGCAAACTTAAGTCAAGATTGAAAATCTTTTCACGTGTAAGGCCGCAACCTATGTAGAAAGGGGTCAAGGAGGAGAGGTAAAAAAAGTTTAGCTATTTCAGTGCAACAAGTTTATTTAAAAATCATAGCAGATATCTAAGCCATGTATATCAGAACTGAGCAAACTTGCTGGAAATGAATCATCATTGGTGGAGTCTCTTCATGAAGGTGAGATTCTGCATCATTTCCCAGAAGGACAGGTCTTGTTGCTTCTCAATCCCTGCCACTTCCCTTCCCTGAGTGCCCCATAGACATTCTAAGATGCTTTTTGAGGTAGCTCTTCCATGCCACCTAGCTGTAGAGGCAGGTGGAATGTGATGTTCTTCTAATGCCATGGAATTAGCCACAGGGATGGACAAGGATTCTACGACACTGCAGGAGCAGGTGGTTTTTCAGTAGAAGCCTGAGGAATAATACCTTCCACAGAAAGATGGGCAGTAACAGCCATAGCCATAGCCACAGTAACCCAGGCCTCCATAGTCCAAGCCACCAAAGCCATAGCCCAGGCCCCCATAGTAGCTGCCTTGGTAGCTCATTGTGTCAAGATTCATGGATCTGGACAGATGTCAGGGTTTAGTTTGTGTGAGTATGTACAGCACCATGTACACAGGGACTTCTAGCAGGAGGTGTGGTAGATTTGTTCCAGAATTGCATAATTTCCATTAATGATCTTGCCAGGATAAAATAACATTCTTTTCATTCTTTGTTGCCTGAGAAGAATTTCTCCAGCTTATTAAGGATATTTTCTCTTGATTTGTTTTTTCTCTATGAAGACTCTACCAACAATGTCATATCTGTCATGAGAAATAATTCTAGTGTTGCCAATACCTATGTGGTTAGTGTGGTTGGTGCCTTACTCAGTTTTCTTGGCAGTCCTCTCCTGGGAACATTGTCCTCATTTCATAGCTTTATGGCCTGACCATCTGCTTTTTTTAAAAAATTAATTAATTAATTAATGTTTAGTCTTCAACATTGACTTTTGTATGATTTTGCATTCCCAAAATTTTCCCCTCCCTACCCTTCCTCCTTCTCAAGACAGCATGCAATCTGATATAGGCTCTACATGGACAATCATATTAAACATATTTTCACATTACTGACCTTCTGATTCTTTAGGTGTGCTGTGAATTCTATTTCTTTTGATCAATGCTGTTTGAGAATGAAGAGACAGCTAGTTTTAGATTGAAGTTGAGATAATAATAGAGAAAAAAATGTATGGAATGAGTGAATCGAACAACCATTGCAAAAGCACTAAAACACAAACCGCCTCACCAGTGTTTAGATGCTACCAGCCATTGTCCTCATGGCCAGGGTTACAAAGGAATAGCAGCAAAGTCCCTGTGTTCAGGCAGGATAATGAAGGATAATGAAAAGATGAAAACAATAAGGCACCTGCCACAAACATGGAGAGTGGATGGGAGAAGATCTCAGAGGCAAAAGCAGAAGCCCCTTGGGCAATGGGATAAGGTCACATAGATGGGATTAGACCTAAAACTCTCTTGGACCGGTGAAAGTCAGAGGAGACAGGAAGATAGAGGAGAGGATGCTTGGCAGAAAAGACTGGCAGTCATGGCAAAGTTAAGTAGAATGGACATGAAGTACTTTTCTAAGTGAAAGCTGGTAGGCCGTCATGAGCAGGGCCATAAAATTTGGGGAGGAGAATTAAGTAGACTTAGACTGGGAAGATAGGAAGGGGTCAGCTAATGAAGAGTGTGAAATGCCAGACAGAGGATATCTCTTGAAACCAGTACAAAACAGGAAGCAACTGAAGTTTACAAGAGATTAGGTGTGGTGATTTGGAATTTGGGGTGGTTAGAATGAGAGAGGAATCAGAATGTTTTAGGAAAATCCCATGATCAGGTGATCAGAGGATTGGTCTGGGTGGGAAGAAGATTGAGCAGGGAGACCAATCAAAGGATATTGCAGAGAGGTGCTGTGAAGGCTGATCTAAGATGGGGACCGTATGAATAGAAAGAAGCATTTGGATTCCAGAGATGTTGGGAAGACAGAAAAGATAAGTTTTGCAGACTGATTGGATAGGCGTGATGTTACTGAAAGGTCAAGACCTTCCCCAACTCTATGGACCTGATTTTCTGGCTTGATGGCCGTTCTCTTGAAAGCTGTAGAGAAGTTTTGAATAGATAGGTTGCTTTTGAAGAGTCAGGATGAGGGGATCTGTTGTAGAGTTGGGGGTTTTGAGATGTGTAGGGGACATGAAGTTAGAAATGTCCAATCAGACAGTTCATGATGTGGAGCTTAGGAGAGTTTTTTGCCTGAATATGGAGATGTGTCAGTGAGTGGCAGAGAGCAATGTGCCCTGAAGCTCTGAGGGCTGAGGAAGGTCTGTTCTCTCACTGAAGAAGAGAGCTTAGTGGAGAGGAAAGAAAAGAGCTAAAACCTAAGGATTCACTCTATAAGCATCAGATGAGAAGACAATTGGCCAACTTACACCACTAGGAAAGAACAATTGGGCTAAAAGCACAGTGTCATGCACATCCAAGAACACCAGTTGACTAGTATTTTCAAAAGCCAAAGGATCATGAAGGGGAAAGAAGACTCAGAAGATGCCCTTAATTTTGGCCAGGAGAGGGGCAGATAGGTGGCACAGTGGATAAAGTACTGGCCCTGGATTCAGGAGGATCTGAGTTCAAATCCAGCCTCAGACCAAACACTTGACACTTACTAGCTGTGTGACCCAGGGCAAGTCACTTAAACCCAATTGTCTAAAAAAAAAAGTTTTGGCAAGGGGGACATGACTATGAATTTTGAAGAGAGCACTTTCTCTTGAATGCTAGTATCAGGAACCAGATATCTAGGACTTTCAAAGACAATGAAAGAAGAGCAGGCAAAGGACCCTGAATAGGCTTCATTGATTGCAGTATATGTAGAAGTACTGGGAAGTGCTGCTAATATGAGTTTGGGAAAGGTCATACATTCTGGGCATAGGTAGACAGCCAGCTGGACAAGTGAGTTCAGGTGAAATGGTGGTCTGGAGATTAAGATGGGGCAGTGAGTGTCAGAGAGAAAGTAACTGAGGCAACTGCAGATGAGGATCTCACCAATTGAGAGAATGTAGTGGAGACAAGAGAAGGCAGGCTGTAGCTCTCTGGTTGTGGAACATCTCAGAAAGCCTTTAACTGATTGAGAGGAAAATCAAGTTACAGTTCCAGGGACAGCAACAGACATCACATCTCTCCTCCCAGCTTCTAAATCTCCCACAACTGCTCTCTAAGGGATAAGGAATCTAATAGGATGTCATAGGACAGCTAGACATCCCACTGTGACCTTGAGATTTCATGCAGAAGAGCGTAAGGGACTAGAATTCAGGAAAACGGACATGATGGCCCAGACATAGCCTTTACTGCTCAGTGCATGGCTGGTGTTTGGCTGAGCTGTAAATCATCCAGAGCAGTTCAGACTAGTCCAAGCAAGCCTCCTAATTCAGGGCCTTTGAGATTCACTTGAAGGAACTAGTTATCTTGCACTTAGTGGACACTCAGGGGACTATACCAGCTCTCTTAAGGTTTTTTAATGAGTACTATGAAATACAGGTCCTAGTTGTGTTTCTTTTGTTCCCAGGTGGGAAGACTTAGATTCAGAATTGGTCTTCATTGCCCATAAATTGATTTTCAACTTTGCTACAGAGATTGAAATATTTTTCCCCACTGAGAGCTGTTAAAGGGAGAAATGATCTTCTTTTTGAAGGATTAGTTCCATTGATGTGACCGTTGTAGGATGTCTCTTGGCAAAAGAATTAATGAATCATTTGGATATGTTTTGGGAGGAAATAAATGCAGTGAGTCTAATGAGGGAATTTCCTTCCAAAAGCCATTGGATACAAATAATCATACAGATATTCTGTTTTTTTTTTTTGTGAATGGAGAATAAGGAAAGCAGTGGCAAATATTGTAATAATCATTCATTTTAAGATAAACTTCAGGAAATGTAAGACACATTTGTGGTATTACTTGTAATGTTTTCTCCACTAAAAAAAGTTCAAACAATAACATTTCCATCAGTAAACATTTATTAAGTGCCTACTATGTGCCGTCTAATATGCTAAATTCTGGCTTTCTTTCCAAGGACTTCTCTGAGGGACATGATTTTTGGGACCAGTGATTCTAAGCCAGGATGTGGAGCAGTAAAGCAGATACTCTCTTTCTCTGGGAGTTTGAGTTGATTAGCAAGTTCAGGTGTATGAGGGGTTTGAAAGACATTCTTTCAAAATTAGTCCACTTCCCTGATAGATGAAAGGGCCTTAACTATAGGGCAGTGTTGTGGTCTGACTCACTGTGTAGTTTCCTGGGGGATATGGACCCATTAGAAGGGCATGATTCCATAACAACCTTCAGGCTTGGCATGTGACTCTCTTCTGTAGATTTTGTGGTGTGGTATCCATTCGTGTGGTGCTCCAAAACTTCAAATTGGTGGGTGATATAGTAATGGAAGATGAGTAGATAAGCAATGGACTAACACATATCCTGGCATTAATCAGAGACCACTTGGATCTGGAAATGATAAACCCTGATCAAGAGGCAATGAAAAAATGAATCTTTGAGAAACCTTGAACATAAAACCCTGTCAACATGCAGAGAATGTGGGAGAAGTGCCATGCCTTATAGGGACAAATGTCTTGCTAACATTACAGTGATGTCCTTGCATTGCTTCCTCTCCTCTGTATTCTGCTTCACTGCTTGGCTGTAATTGCTACTGCCACCAGCTTTGGGGCTAACTCACATCCCAAGGTAGGATACTGTTATATACTTTCAGGAAGAATTGGAGCTCATACTCTAGGACCACTGAGAATCTTGACTCTGAAGCCTCTCAGCTTCCAAGTGGAATTCTAGCGCCATTTACTAAACTCTTAACTGCTCTTACTAAATCTATGATTTTTTGAGTCTGTGACCCAACTCTGTAGCGGAATATCCTTTGTAGTTTCTGTTGTAAGAAATAATTGCCAGTGGAGGGTGGGGGGGAGGGGGAAGAGCAGAGCTGGTTATTATTAAGTACTAAAGTTTAAGTACTGCAGAAGTAAAATTTTAGAAAGGCATTTAACAAGCTAATATTTATTTTTGAACAGAAATGTTGAGAGGTATCATTTCATTGTAAAAGATGAATTGGAGGCCAAATCTTCTGCAGTGACACAGCCATAGGTCAAGATGGAAAATGTCTTCACAATGTGAGGCTACAACCCAAGTACAGGGACTTCAAGGAGGAGAAGTGAAAACAGTTTTACTAAGCCAGTGAAACAACTTTATTAGAAAAGCATAACAGACACCTCAGCCATGATATATCAGAGCTAAGCACACTTGCTGGGAACGAGTTGTCCTTGGGGGGCATCTTCCTCATGAAAGGTGAGATTTTGCATCTTTTCCCAAAAGGACCAGTCCTGCTGCTTCTCAATCCTTGCCACTTGCCTTCCCTGATTGCTCCATAGGCATTCTAAGATGTACTTGTGGTATCTCCTATACCACACAGCTATAGAGGCAGGTGGAACGTGATGTCCTTATAGTGCCATGGAAATATGCCAAGTTGG